TCAATGCCAAACAATTGTTGTCATAGACTTCGGAAAGCTAAATGCTTGTAATGAAAGAAACTTAGCGTGCATGGGCGAAAGCCTGGGGCTGTTCGGGCTACCAAGCTGTCTCGAATCTGTGAAATCATAACTGTGACTTATACCGATGTCCTGTCTGTCTCTTTTCTCCGTTATCACCAGGCTATGAGTCACATAATTGTAAAATGGGAAATCTACGACAGAAAAGTGACGAATCGAAAGTATCATGAGGGTGTATTATGATGTATGCATAGGCATACATGGACTAGAATGATAGAGGAAAGAGAAAGGGAAGTGCAAAGACGAGCGCTTAAAAAGAAGGATAGGCAGGCCCAGATCCTCAGATGTGCAACGATTCTCGAACAAATAGGTGTGTACATATGCTGATCTTTGTAATTATAAATTGTGAATACAGTACATGTGACTAATATTATTTTCTTTTTTATTTTGTGCATGTTATAAGTATAAATAAATATAAACAAACAACACTAACCCTATAGCATTAAATCTAAACACCAAAATGATTAATTTACTGTGTTTTTGTTATTTCTTACTCCTGTTTTTAGGTATTCGGTATTCAGCTGAATAGTGATTAAATATTTGGTATTCGGCCAAATAGCGAAAAATAGGCTGAATACTGAATAGTAACCAAATATTCATTACATCACTAATAAATTTAAAAAGCAATTTACCAAGGTTCATTTTATCTGTTGTACAATTAACAACTTTAGATAATAAAAATATCAAGATCTTGTTGATATATCAGAGTCAATGAAATTTAAAATTTATAAATTTTTTAATCCTTTCTCTATAATCAGAAATTTCTTAAAACAAAGTTAGATGAAATTACTATTAACCATGCATTAGTGCATATTTTATTACATGAATAATATACAAATTATAATTAACATTTCATTTTCAAATTTAAGCATTTTCATCCAGGAATTTTAGCAAGCATGTTTATTATTGTAGAATTAAATAAGAATATTACAAAATATATGCGTTTACCTCTAGGGCATGCCAATATCTTATAATATTACTGAAATTTATATTGTCTGTTGGTGTTAAATAGGTTTTTAATATGAAATTAAGAACAACAAGCACTTTCGACAAATACAAAATTGTCTTCTTCAGGCAACAAACAAAAGAATTTGAATACGTAACAACATTCTATATATTTCAGTAATATAATAAGAATATTTCATTTGAAACTTATTTAAATTTATTAATATTTAATGACAAAAAATCTAATCCCATTCATTCTTTGCTTGTGAAATCATTTTGTAAAAATTGTGCAAATTTCTCATACACAGTTGTAGTAAATATAGGAAATAGATTTACTATTTTCCTAATAATCTAACCAAAAAGATATTAAATACAGTAGTACCTCAGGATACGAATGCTTCAGCATATGAAATTTTCAGGATACAACATGAAATTCGAACATATTTTTGCTCCACGGTACGAACAAAAACTCACCATATGGCATTACATTAGTTCGCAGCGCCACTGCCATGATCACATGTTCCTTCTGTTCATCAGTCTCAGTCCATGTGTTTGCTTCATCGTGGAAAAATCTTGCTTGATAAAGAAAATATTAAGATATTATCAGAAAGTGACTGATTTTATTGAAAAGAAACATCCCAAAAAGGTTCACACTGGCCGTACTGCTGCTCAGTTTAATGACATTTTCCTAAGTCATTTTAGAAACATTTTAAAAAGTAGGCAAAGCCAAACCTCTTTGGATAGATATTTTACCAAGCGACCTCTATCCAGTGAAAGTGCTGGTGGAAGTGAAGGAAAGAAAGCAAAAAGCAGTGAATAAAAAATTTTAAAAAATATATAAAACAGAAAAGATAAAAAAATTAGTGTTAAGTTATTTTTAAGTTAACTTACATAACAAAATGTAACAATAAGTTTTAGTATCATTTCCCTTCTCCCTCTCCTCTGCCACCAGTTTACACCTCCACCGTCGTCTATCCTCAAAGGTAAAGTGCAAATAAAACTACATTTTTTAAAATCAATTATTATTCTATTATGGTTATTTATACATTTACAACTACAAAATGCATTTTTCAGTGTTTTCCTTACTAAAGTTATTTTTTTCAATGTACCTCTTAGTTTTAATTCGAGTGTTTTTTTCGTGTTGAAACGAATTATTTGGTTTACATGTATGGGTTTACATGTATGGGGAAAAATGATTCATCTTACGACATTTTCATGATACAATCTCAGTTTAGGAACAGATTAATTTTGTATCCTGAGGTATTACTGTACCTAAGTTTTGTGTCATTTCCTATACATTAGAATACAATTCTTATTTAACATCAATGCATTCAAATTTGATTCATTGTAATGTTGATGAGAAAAAATACATTTTACAGGCAAAACAGTTATATTAAGCATACATGCACACATCTTAACAACAGGAAAAATGAAACTTTACTGAACAAAATGAGAAAAGCATATACATTTTTATGAAAATAGAGCAATAAACTTATTCAAAAGATTTTGTCAAGAGTTGTGCAATTGCACTTAAGGTGTGCATCAATTACATTCTGCATCTTTCTTTCAAAAATGACATTTGTACTTGAAAAAATAACATTTTCTACAGTGCATTTGCAATCGTTTATAATTATTGCTATTGAATTTTCTTTATGAATACCAGGAGTAAAATTAATTCTATGAAGTGGGAATTAAATGCTAGAGATATTAAATGTGATTCAATAAGATTATTATTAACCTGCCATCACTCATGCACAGTAAAATAAGCACCAATGACTTTTTAAATCATTAGTCTAGAAATTTAAAAACTTTCTAATTGCCTAAACTTTATGTATTGATACAGTATATTTCAAGTTTCATACTACAGTTTTTCTAGAAAAACCTTTCATTTTTTTTATTTAATGCAGATACTAAAAATAGTACAGAATTATTTTCTTGAAATCTGATTAACATAATTTGTATTCATTACAATTTCAACTTTTTTTCCACATTTATTTCAATGTTTAATATTTGAAGTACAGTATTTTGGTTCTTTATTTAGAAGTTTGTTGATGTTTTTGAGATCAGGAATTTGATGTAGGAATTAACTCACTCTTGTTTATATTAATTAGCCTATGGTAAAATTAGTTTTGTTTAAAGACAACAATTTCCAAGAACCTATTGCTAACTTTAAGAGGACTTAATATACAGGGTGTTTTTTTTTAAACTGATGGTACTCAGAGACATCTGTAGAGCAATCTAACAGCCGGACTGTTGCCAAATTTGGGACAGTGACTAAGAATGACATGGGAAAGAGATTCGGCAAAGAAAAAACTAGTACCTAAATTCGCCAGTAGGGGTGGATTTGGCGCTGCTGTAGCGAAACAGCTTGTTAACCTTGAGCATATATAGCATTCAAATTACAATCTTTAAAAAGGTTTATTAAAAATTGAAACATTGTCACCGTCAAACATGTGTCCACTGTCTCTACTGCAATCAAAATTAAAATATTTTCATTAAATAGTAATAAACTTTTCAACATTATTATTATTTGAACACGTTTGTTCATCTGAAAACTTTAAAAATATACATTCTTTTTTCTAAGTATAGACAAGGACAGATTAAGTGGATTACAGGGGCTTAAGCCACCCATTGACACACAAAAAATTTTAATGTATTTTTCAAACTTCAAAACATTGTTTTTTAAAACATTCATGATGGCAAATAAATTTATTGAACCATCNAAATAAATTCGTTCCAACGCGAAAAACATACTCAAATTAAAGCCAAGTAATACATTAAAAAAATAACTGTAGTAAGAAAAACAAATGAAAAATGCGAACTAATGTAACGTCGTATGGTGAGTTTTTGTTCGTATCGTGGAGCAAAAATATGTTCTAATTTCATGTCGTATCCTGAAAATTTCGTATTCTGGGGCGTTCGTAACCTGAGGTACCACTGTATTTAATGAAAATATTTTAATTTTGATTGCAATAGAGACAGTGGACACATGTTTGACAGTGACAATGTTTCAATTTTTAATAAACTTTTTTAAAGATTGTAATTTGAATGCTATATATGCTCAACCTGAAGATGACATTTTGAAATGTTGAAAGTACTTTTTGTAGTTAAAAACCTTGAAGAATCTTGTTAAGCTCAACATTGAGCATATGTGTATTTTCATGATGTTCAAAACTTTAAAATTTTTGTTCTTTTTAATACATGCATTCTATTAGTTCTAAACCTGACAGATGATCGTTAAAAACAGAAGAAAACATTTGTTTTTCATTTAATTAAATCTAATTCATGCTGGTTGTGCAACCTTTCATATTCAATGTGCTATTTATATCACCATCAGGTTATTGATGAATATTAGCAATTTGTGTATAACTATTTATCATGAAATTTATAAAAAAGTATACAAAAAATCAGTCATATCAATACATACCTAAGCATGTACAAGTATTCTAACTAAAAACATGCAGTCAATAATGTATCAGTTCACAGACTGAAACAAGTAATTGGGAAGCAGAAGGAATAATAATAATAATGTATATTTTAAAACTTATTTATCAGAGTTTGAACATTGTTATTTGATATGTAGTCATTTGATTGCAAACCTTAACAGCCAACTGCAAACAAACGTTTAGAGGCTGACGGCGATTTACAGATCAGGTAGACCATGGCTCAGAAAAATTTCATTGCAGAGACAGTTTTTCTTGCTTGCCATAATGTAGACAGTGATTAGAAACAAGTTATTTAACCTACTTTCTAGACTCACTCAACAGCAGGTTTAGAGGGCTTTTTAATTCCAGTGGTAGTTTGTTCATAGAAAAGTTTAGATAAAAATGAATATCTTTCCTTTGATAAATGTTGTAAATGGTACAAATCAACAAAATTATTTATTAATTAATTGCTTGGAGCAAAAATAACAAAATTAAATACTTTAAATTTGTTTTAAATGTTCCAATTCCGATATTCAAATGGGTGAATTCAAAAACTACAATTAATTTTAAATCAGATGCATTTATTTACAATTCGAGTATCATGTCGGTTATAAAACATTAATGCATTTCGGGTTCATTGTAGTTAATCCCCTAGTCATAACGTTCTATTAAACAAACAAGACAATTTTAATAATTACCGAAATCTTTTTATAGAAATAAAAAAAATGTAATAGTAATAATAAAATATTTAAAATTATTCATTTTGACAGTTACAAAGGGAGACAGTAATACAATGTCGAAATAATTCCTTAAAAATCTATTACCAAGACAAATTTCAAATTTGGTATAAATTTTCTAAACATGGATTTGTTTGTATTTTAAACCGTATTGGTGATGAAATTAAATATCAAAATGGAAAAGGATTGTCATTAATTGCCGAACAATGGTTGTTGATGACCTTAAGATTTTATTTCCGGAAGCTTTCAGAATATAGCTGGCAACCTTTTCTGATGTCACGAACAAATAACCCAATCGGCCAAACATCTCCTAAAACAGGGGAGTAATGGCCAAGAAAGTAAGAGCCAATGTTTTGCTAAAGTTTGTTTAGAGGGCATTCAGAAATAAATGCTCATCGCCTTTGCAACACATTTTAAACTGCGGTTCAGCCAGTCAACGTCTATAGGCTGTTCTGTTGTTAAACATCGTTTAACATATGCTCTGTCTCTGCAATCGGCTGTAAAGGTCTGCAGGTTGGGAATTGCTGTAACTAATTAGAAACAACCAAGTTTAATAAAACTAAGACAACAAAATGTACACTATAACAGCAACCTAATTAATACAAATTTTTATTTCATTTGCAAAAATCTACATAGTCATGAAGTAAATAAAGATAACTAACATATTCATGAGTTCAAAAAGATAACTAACAAGTAGTATATAGATATTTAAAGCATGATATTGTATCACATTAATTAAAATATTACAATAATGTTACTTTAGATGAACTATATTATATTGCATATAGAAAAAAAAAAGGAAAATAATTGAAGATTAGTGATCTCAACCATTTTTAGATACATACTAAGTTAACATAAAAACTAAAATCAATAATAGTTAATTGTTAATTATTATAAACTACTACATGATCTTCCTGTAGATATGTACTGTACTGTATGTAATATTTTTAGCATATGACCATAATATGAATATTAAAATTATCATAGTAATAAACTAAGTTCTAATTTGTTGATTAATTATTATTTTGTTATATTTAACAACTTATAATGTTAAATAAATATAAAGTTAATACATGATTATAGTAATATCTAACACAGTTTTGAACAACTTTGTGCAGACTAAATAAAAATATAATTTTTGTTTTGTCTGCGCAAAGGTAAAAATTTTTAAATTATGTAAAACAAACTACTCCAATATTCTTTCTCAAAATTAAATACTAAAATGTATTATTATATCAGGCCAAGAAATTATCATCAATTTAGAAAAAGATCATAATTATTACAATGCATATTAATTGTCTTGGTATTAATGACTAAATTATATTACACAGAACAGTCATTAACATTTTCTAATAATTTATGATTAATTAATGTCTAAGTAAGTAATTAATATAAATATAAAAGGTGTTGTTTCCTAGAAAATATTCAGAAACAGTAACTTCTGGAAAAAACCATGGTTA